CCTTCAGTGGATATCCAGCCACCAGGGCATCCCAGGAAATGAAAAAGGTGACCAAGAAGCCGTTCAAGCTACACACGGTCCACAAACAACATTCAACACACTGACCCTCGCGGACGCAATCAATCTTGGAAAAACTGATACATGGGAAGACTGGAAATCGGAATACCAGATCACATCAACAGAAAAGGGCATCTGGCATTTCGGGTTTATGAAAGAACCAGGACAAAAGATTTGGTTTCAAGGACTAGATCTTAACTCCGAAGAAATCATCATCCTGAACCGGATAAGGACAGGACACACCAACACCAAAGAAAGAAGATACAAATGGGGTTGGGAAGAAGACGACAACTGTGACCTATGCGACGAAAAAGAAGATCTAGAACACTTGCTCTACCACTGCACAAAATACAATATCGAGAGATCCGAGTACACTGTACTGGAGTACTGCAAACCACTGAACATCATTCTGAAGGAAAACAATGAGCTCGAACTAAAAGAAGTAGTCTCATTCATCAAACAAACAAAAATACGTTTATGAATCACAAGCGACAACACACAATTAACCGAAGCAACCATATAATCTACAAACAAGACAACAAGAGTGGCGAGATGGACCGTGATCGGTCTGAGCCGTCCAACATTCAGGACACAACAAAGAAAAAAAAACGAAGTTTTATTGAAAAAAATGAGAAATTCTCGAATGAATAAATTGTTTTTCAAAAACAAGTCGACTCCATATGCTCGTCGTTCTAATGTATTGTAAGTATAATTAAAGTTAAATACCTTCACTGCAAAAAACCGCTTTTATATTATTTTTTTTAATTTAGGTACACAAACGAATTCGTAAGGTGGTTGTTACTCGGAGAACTCAAACATTAGCTGAAATTCATCCGGAAGCTCAACCCGAGGCTCTTCTTGAGCCGGTAAAGGATACTAATGATTCTGGTCAAGCCAGTCAAACCCGCATGTTGCCGGTGGTTCAAATTGGATCGAAATGGCAGGTGTGTAAAAAATATGTCTATCTGTGACTCATTAGTTTTATTGTGAGTTTGCGGTAATGAACAAAAAATATTATATATGATATATATTAATATTAACAGGTAAGTATCGAATTTCGTTCATATTGTCATCAAGTCATTCACATGTTTCTATTTGCATAAGGCCCCTGCCGGTGTCGTTTCAGAAAATTTGCCTATTGGTCTTCCTGAAGGTGAAGATTCAGGCCAAGATGCTCAACAAAATATATCGGACGACGAAGAGCGATTACAAAATAATCTCTGCTCTGGTGAGAATGATGCAATCATCTCCGACCGTATTTCAAATGCAACAACGTTGAATGGCTTCCATGAAACGCATTTTGCTAATGAAGGATTATATACCGACGAAGAGGACATGGCTTCTTCTACCAGTGGCTCCTCTAAGGATAGTGAACCAGACGTTCAGTTCGATGAATGGGACGATGGAGAGGTAGAGTGCTGGCTTGTACGAAGATTATCATTATTGTAAATAATTTATATTTTAGGGCTCATTCTTCGAAGATCTGCTGCACAAGGACTTAACAGTAACCAAAGCTGAAGTTATGGTCATGCTGCTCCATGTTTACATCAGACATAACCTCTCCAACGCTGCATTGGAAGACATTCTAAAATTAATCAATGTGATTGTTGATTTTGCTTCAATACCGTCGTCGTTCTACATGTTCTCGAAATTTTTCGGCGGTAAACAATTTGAGCGACATTTTGTATGTAAAACTTGTGGACTTATTTATTAGGGTCTAATTCTAGCGAACTCTGCCGTATTTGTCGAAGCGATCGAAAATCTACATTCGTGATGTTTGATTTCATATCAAACTTGAGAGATATATTACAGAGAAACTGGAACAGTATTCAAAGCTACAAAAGTCTCCTTCGTGATGATGATGCTATTAGTGATATCATGGATGGAAAAATTATCAAAGGCTTCACTAGACTGGCAGATATATTCGTATCATTCAACACAGATGGTGTTGCCATGTTTAATTCAAACGCAAAAAAAAACCCCTGTGGCCTATAATTGTGCTTATAAACAATTTGCCTCCAGCTCTTCGTTTCCTTCGAAAGAACATTATCGTGGCCGGAATTTGGTTATCGCATGGAGAACCTGATTTAAGTATTTTCCTTAGGCCATTTTTTGACGACCTGCGCTACCTCACGGAGTACGGTGTTACTTTGAAGAATAGTATTGTGTGTAAAGTGCAAGCAGTTTGTTGCTGCGTAGATAGCGTTGCTCGTTGCAAGCTTCAGCAAATTAGGCAGTTTAATGGATATGATGCGTGTAGCTTTTGCTTGCACCCAGGTAGCTTAGTAGATGGCCAAGTCAGATATAAATTTGAGTCCAACATTCCTGCCCGTGAACATCTTGACGTGCTCAATGCAATGGCCCTTTTTCACAGAAGAGGAGAAGCTGTCCAAGGTGTCAAAGGCATATCTCTATTGATTTCATTACCTAACTTCAACATTGTCGACTTTTGTCCCGTGGACTACATGCATGCGGTGCTGCTTGGAATATCGAAACAACTTTGCAAGCTCTGGTTTGAGTTCCCTAGTTTGGAGTGCTATATCAAACATAGAGTGGAAGATATAGACAGCATATTACAATCCATCAATCCATTTGCTGAGATCTCAAGGTATCCAAGAAAAATTTCGGAAAGAAAGTCTTGGAAAGCCAACGAGTGGCAAAATTGGCTGCTTATTTATGGTCCAATATGCTTATATGATGTTCTTCCCAAAAAATATTATGATCATTTTGTTTTATTTTCACAAACAATCAATCGGTTGTTGTGCGGTAAACTAACGGAGAATGCTATTGAAGAATGTGAAAAAAAACTGATTGATCTTGTAAAAAAATTTGAAATACTGTATGGTTCTGAACAGATGACTTATAATGTCCATTTGATGTTTCATATTTCCGAATGTGTAAGGAACTATTTTCATTTGAAGATATTAATGGCATGTTAAAAAAGTATATGCAAGGACCCAAAGAACCAGTTTTACAAATTGCAACAAAATGTGTATTATCTCACGCACGACATAACACTTCTCATTTAGAAGCTTGCCAAGAAAAGGTAAAACAGTTTTGTGATTCTAATAAGCACCAACCGTAGTTTATCGAAGAATTTCGAATTCCTGATTCTGTGGTGAACTCATACCCAAACACTCCATTTAGAGCTATAAAAGTATTAAAATTCAATCAATATATTTTCAAAGCTTGTAAACAAACAAAACCCAGAAATAACAATCAACAAACTTGTAACGATTCAACATTTACTATTCAGATTGGTGGAGTAGATAATTTTGGTGTTATCCAAACTATTTTATGGAATGATAACGATTATTTTCTTTTGTATTTTTTAAAAGAAATAAGTAATCCAAGCAAATTTCCCTTGTACGGAAGAATAATTAACAAAGATCTTAAGCTCATAAAAGTTAACAGCTCTTTAAAAAAGTGCGTACGAATTACCGTTCATGACAAAATGTATATTTGTTCTTTAGATTTTATTCTATTGGTGGATTAACTGATGATTTATACATAATAGACAAGAGTAATAAAAATGTAATTGTTACATATTCAATTATGATTGTATTTGATTATAAGTAATAAAGCATCTTCTTAAATAAACATAGTTTTAATATCTCTAATACTATTAAGTAAGGCAATTATCAGTATCGTCAATACCTTTACCTATTATTGTCAGGTGGTTAAACAAAGTTCTTTGGCTAACAAAGTCCCCTTGCCGGTAATCCTAAATTCTCAATGCCACTATATAAATACAATTTGCTAATGATAAAAAACACCAAGTTCCCTCGCTTATTTGCTTTTTTGACATATACCTAAATCAATTTGCGTATAATTTATAGCTCAATACAAAGATTTTAGTTATTGTGCGATTTGTATTTCCAGAAAGACGGTTAAGCTGGCTTGCGGTTACTTGAGACGCTTTTACATTAAAAAATGTGGTAAAAATACTGTATTGCTCAAATATGTTTTCTTAATGAATTTTTGTATACAGTAACTTAACAACGTTTATTATGAGTGACAACATTAATTATGGTAAAGTTATTGTTTCTACCGTAGCAGACATTGTAAATTTTTTTTCGGGTAGTCGACGACTCCGCCTCCACACAAAGGGACAAACTGCGGTATGTTATCCCTTTCCTGACGATGATGGCAACAACACCCCCTGGAGCTGGTACGATCAAGCCGAATGATGTTGTGGTTCGGTAACCGCAGCAACTATCGCCGGACTTGAGGTGCATCTCGGTGAGGAGGCCCACGTCGATGAAGGAAGTCCGCAAGCTCGATGGTTTTTGCTCTTAATGAGCAAGCGTTCCAGGTGACGATAGTTAGCGGTTTAGACGCCATACTGGATGATAAACTTATCCGAGTACATAGATCTGCTCGGGCTTATTGCGGCACTTACAAAGAGCAACGGTCATGTTGACGATAATTTTCATCAGTTCATCCGCTGAGAACAGATCGGGGTTGTTGTTTTGCATTGTCGGTTGTCTCCAGAATCCAGGGGATTGAGAGCTTTGTCCAGCAGAAGATCCAGACGTTTCATGAGGGGGAGCGGATCGCACCCGTGAATTCGCTTGTCCATGAAGAGGCGGAAAGTCCTTATCCTTCCTTCGTCCTGGTTGATTGTTGATGGACGCTTGTTTTCGGATAATCCTCTTGTTTAGGGCACTGCATCTATCTATGCAGACAACGCAATGGCCATTCGGGATAATGTCATAAAATCGACAAGGAAACACGTTCTCAGTGGGCCACAAAAATCGTTATCATACGTTTCAAGAGTTCCTGCAATTTATATTTCAGCGAGTTATAGTTATAAGTAAGTAAGAGAGATTCGTACGAAGAAAAATACGTTGTTGGATTCTATGAGCTTTATTTCAAATATCAATTTACCACAAAACAGTACGTTTGAAAATAAATTAAACAATCCACAGCACACTGTAACGTCACGGCAAATAACCATTGTAGAACAGCCCATCCTTGTTCCCAATCACATTTCTGTCGAGTGGTTTAATCTTCTCGCTGTACGGTGCCACCAGAATCGGCCGAAATATGTCCGGTTTGGCGATGGTCTTCATCCGTTCATACCGGCCAATATAGCGATTACTAGCCCCACCCAGCACCAATCCCTTGCCACTGGGGACCTTAACGGTCAGAAATTCCTGTTCGATCAAACCAACCGTAATGATATTTTTGTTAAGCCTTTTGACCAATCCGTCCGGTTGTGGCTCCGAAGGCGCTGTCGTGCCACTCGGATGCACTCGATTTCCAAAGTCTGGCCTGAGACTCAGGTCATACCGGTGCTGGGGACGTTTCAGCTTCTCCTGCTCAATGGCAATCAACTCGTCTCGATTCTTGTACAGCATACAGCATGCCCGCATCGTGAAGAAGTAGATGATCTCCACTCCTGACAGAAGGCTGAAGCCCAGAAATAAGCCCGCTATGCCTCCGAACGATACCAGCAGATCGACCCAACCGAACAGGACTTCTCGCTTATAGCGAATGATGGGCCACGTGAGGTACTCGATGGTGACGACCGGTTCCTTGCTTTCGTCCGTGCTCATGCTGTGTCAAAAAGAGAAAGGGGGGGGGGGGATTCGATCTTCAATTGTATTAAAGAAATATGAACTGCGTAAAGGTCTTACATTTTGGAGTACTTTTCGATGTCGTAGACCGTATTGTGGCAGCCCAGCTCGCAATTTTGACACCCACTGATGCTGGTGATGTTCGCCGTGTACTTGGCCAAACACGCCAGCTGCTTGACCGTGCAGAATGGCAGCGAAACCGGCGGAGCATAAAACGGTGGAATACATTTGCAGTACTTGAGGCACTTTTGCATGCGGCACTCCTTCATGCAGCCGGAAAAGGTGTAATCGTCCCGGTAGTACTTCAGTTCGACCTCGTCCGGGAAGATGCACTTGCGCTGCCCCGTGGACAGCTGCCGGGCGTCCTCGGTGGTGTAGGTCTCCTTCATCGAGATGAGAAAGTCTATGGCAAAGTTGACGTCCCACTTGACCTGCGGCCGAAAGTCCCAGCCGGATATTTCGTTGTACGAGTGGACGAAGATGTGCGACGGTTGGAGCGGCGCAAACGTGAGGCCCCACTTTTTATCCGTTTCGTACAGGTAGTTGACTTCGGTGCTGCGTTCCCTGTAGAGTAGAAAGAGCGTAGAGTGGAATGAAGTAGAGTGGAATGAAGTAGAGTGGATTGAAGTAGAGTGGATTGAAGTAGAGTGGAATGAAGTAGAGTGGAATGAAGTAGAGTGGAATGAAGTAGAGTGGAATGAAGTAGAGTGGAATGAAGTAGAGTGGAATGAAGTAGAGTGGAATGAAGTAGAGTGGAATGAAGTAGAGTGGAATGAAGTAGAGTGGAATGAAGTAGAGGGGAATGAAGTAGAGTGGAATGAAGTAGAGTGGAATGAAGCAGAGTGGAATGAAGTAGAGTGGAATGAAGTAGAGTGGAATGAAGTAGAGTGGAATGAAGTAGAGTGGAATGAAGTAGAGTGGAATGAAGTAGAGTGGAATGAAGTAGAGTGGAATGAAGTAGAGTGGAATGAAGTAGAGTGGAATGAAGTAGAGTGGAATGAAGTAGAGTGGAATGAAGTAGAGTGGAATGAAGTAGAGTGGAATGAAGTAGAGTGGAATGAAGTAGAGTGGAATGAAGTAGAGTGAAATGAAGTAGAGTGAAATGAAGTAGAGTGGAATGAAGTAGAGTGGAATGAAGTAGAGTGGAATGAAGTAGAGTGGAATGAAGTAGAGTGGAATGAAGTAGAGTGGAATGAAGTAGAGTGGAATGAAGTAGAGTGGAATGAAGTAGAGTGGAATGAAGTAGAGTGGAATGAAGTAGAGTGGAATGAAGTAGAGTGGAATGAAGTAGAGTGGAATGAAGTAGAGTGGAATGAAGCAGAGTGGAATGAAATAGAGTGGAATGAAGTAGAGTGGAATGAAGTAGAGTGGAATGAAGTAGAGTGGAATGAAGTAGAGTGGAATGAAGTAGAGTGGAATGAAGTAGAGTGGAATGAAGTAGAGTGGAATGAAGTAGAGTGGAATGAAGTAGAGTGGAATGAAGTAGAGGGGAATGAAGTAGAGTGGAATGAAGTAGAGTGGAATGAAGTAGAGTGGAATGAAGTAGAGTGGAATGGAATGAAGTAGAGTGGAATGAAGTAGAGTGGAATGAAGTAGAGTGGAATGAAGTAGAGTGGAATGAAGTAGAGTGGAATGAAGTAGAGTGGAATGAAGTAGAGTGGAATGAAGTAGAGTGGAATGAAGTAGAGTGGAGTAGAGTTTGAGTAGAGTAGAGTAGAGTAGAGTAGAGTAGAGTAGAGTAGAGTAGAGTAGAGTAGAGTAGAGTAGAGTAGAGTAGAGTAGAGTAGAGTAGAGTAGAGTAGAGTAGAGTAGAGTAGAGTAGAGTAGAGTAGAGTAGAGTAGAGTAGAGTAGAGTAGAGTAGAGTAGAGTAGAGTAGAGTAGAGTAGAGTAGAGTAGAGTAGAGTAGAGTAGAGTAGAGTAGAGTAGAGTAGAGTAGAGTAGAGTAGAGTAGAGTAGAGTAGAGTAGAGTAGAGTAGAGTAGAGTAGAGTAGAGTAGAGTAGAGTAGAGTAGAGTAGAGTAGAGTAGAGTAGAGTAGAGTAGAGTAGAGTAGAGTAGAGTAGAGTAGAGTAGAGTAGAGTAGAGTAGAGTAGAGTAGAGTAGAGTAGAGTAGAGTAGAGTAGAGTAGAGTAGAGTAGAGTAGAGTAGAGTAGAGTAGAGTAGAGTAGAGTAGAGTAGAGTAGAGTAGAGTAGAGTAGAGTAGAGTAGAGTAGAGTAGAGTAGAGTAGAGTAGAGTAGAGTAGAGTAGAGTAGAGTAGAGTAGAGTAGAGTAGAGTAGAGTAGAGTAGAGTAGAGTAGAGTAGAGTAGAGTAGAGTAGAGTAGAGTAGAGTAGAGTAGAGTAGAGTAGAGTAGAGTAGAGTAGAGTAGAGTAGAGCATTCAAATTAAACTAATTTTGACAGCTCTGCCTATAAAAGCACTAGGCAAAACTAGGTTGTCCCATCCACAAGAGCCAATGGACAAATACATTTTCAACCGCGTTTTTCTCGGCTTGCTGTTTTTTTGTCACATGGGACTGATATGCTTATATGGGCAGAGCAGGTCCTTTCGCATAAAATCCCACCATCCTCCCAAATTCCCCCCTTCAATTAAAATAACTCACTCCACCACCGGCAGCGAGACGTATCGCGCATTGAACGAGTAGCAAAACCCGTGCTCCGAGTAGACCGGCTTGAAGTACGCACAGCACTCGATCGGTTCGTCCTTGTACCGGCAGTAGCCGAACGTTTGCGGACATCCGATCGCCATCTTGAAAACCAGCTTCCTAAGGTCCCTGTCCTGCAGTGCCTTCTTGTGCGAGACATTCTCACTGAGCGCTACCACTTCGTCCATCACTCCGTAGGACAGCTGGGTCAACATCTGCAGAAACGGTTCGTACTGTTCCGAGTCGGCCTCGTAGTTCCCCAATGTAATGTAGGCCACATCGTGCACGCCCTGTCCATCGTACGGCACTTCCGGGCAGACCATCACCGTTGGGAAAATCACCTCCTGGTTGTGGAAATCCGTATCCAGCCCGGTGATGGTCGGATTGGTTTGGAACTTTTCCCACAAACTGAAAATGATAACAATAGCCGCAACAGCTCCGGTGGCCACAAAGCTGAACCACATGAACCGTTCGAAAAATGGCCGCCCTTCCTCGGCGATGTACCGCACCCCATGAAGGGTGGAATTTTCAAAGAATTCTTTTGTCTGGTACAGTAGGCTGCCCCTTAGCAACCGAGCACTGCTGTAGGGATCTTTTTCCTTTTTCGGCTTTTTAGCCTTCTTCGATTTGACCTTCTTGGCCGGTTTGCTTTTCTTTTTTCCGGAGGAATCCATCTTCCTTCTCGCACTGTTTTACATTTTTTTTCCGTTCTGCGCCCTGTAATCTGGGACGAACGTACAAAAGGCACTTGAAACTGAACACTGAATGGTACATGTGTCGAAGCGTTTTGGGGAGGAAAAGTGCCGTCGTCGTGCTTGCGTGATTAGCCATGATTACAGCCCTCAATGGGTGTAATTTTGGTTATGCGCATTGATTTCAAACGTAACAATCTTATCGAGAGATGTAATCTCTGCCAGAGGACACGGATTCCGTGGCGCGAGTGCTGTGGGCTGCTACACCCAACCGGGAAATGTAAGATTCAGTTACAGATTTTCGTAAATAGCATACAGACTATTATGTGGTCGTCGGGTGGTTTCTTAAATAAATAACTTGCTTACACGCTACAGGCCATTGTAAGGACAGGCATAATCTTTGTTGTAAGAAAACATGCAGAGGATGTAAGAAATCCGCACTTACATTTAATGCTTATGACATTTGTTTTGCGTGTAGGTGCATGGTTGGTTGACTTATAAAAATCATTGTCTGCCCAATGTGACATGAACCGGCAAAACAGACGTCACGAAAGGAGGTATCGTAATACATGTGGAGGTTTTCACCGATATATTGGGACACAAACCAATACCGCTCAAACCTGTACTAGCAAATGCTTTTCTAATGTATGAAATTAGATTTGAAATTGCATATGCTAGGTTTATTTTTAGAATTAAAGTAAAATTAAAAATTCAAATCATCAATTCTGGGGTGAAGTTGATCATGCAGGTTTTTATGCAATGCAATATTCAGAAGTTTGCATTTATACTTGATTTGTGTTCGCTGATGAAGGTGGTTTACAAAAAATCTGCATATTTTGAAGCAAAATAGTTAAAAATACGCCTAAATGTAGGCACTTAACTTCTGTTTTACAAACATCATAATTTTTATGATACGAAATTGTATATTTTAACAAAATATGATTTCAGAATCGGATTCAGTGACTCAAAATAAAGTAAAATAAGTATAGTTGGAAATGGTCAAATATCAGATTTAAAGTGGTCATTTTTATACGATAGATGAGGAGATGAAAGTACATATAGAGTTGATAGTTCCGTTAGAGTACGGCAGTTTGAAAGTGGTATTTTTCAATGGTCACTTTAACGCTCTTGGGTCATTCGTGACTTGTCCGGGGTGAGATTTGAACTTGTGACTTTGGCGTGAGAGGTATGGATGCTAACCACTACGCCGGGGTCGCCGCCGTTTGAAAGTTGTATATAGAGAGTAGAAAGCGAGCAAAGGTTACTTTTGAGGAAGGCACGAAGCCCCCCGTTGGGGAGGGATGGTGAGGGGTATCTATACTATCAACCCTATACTTTCATCTCCTTATCTATCGTATAATATATGACCACTTTATGTCTGATATTTGACGTTAAGCATCTCCAACTATGTAAATCATTAACTTCACGCATGAAGTAATACAAACATGATTAATTAAAGTAAATTTCACCAAATACAGCACCAGAATAAATGCTGATTCTGATAGGATGTATAGGAACAGTTAAAAGTTGCATATTTTATCGCTTCCAAAACATTGTACATTTAGAGTGATAGAATGCATTGTTTGTTAATGGGAAACGTTTCAAAATTACTATTTAAACTACTTAATGAAATACTAAACAATACTATCATGAAAATGAATTGTTGAGAAACGAAAATTGAACGGTGTAGTTACCAACTTCAACTCAAGTATGAATAAATATGATATAATAAGGTCCAAGAGACGTTTCTCAGTGGAACTGACATCTAGAAATCCAGAGTGTGTGAGTGATATGGTGCTAAATGTAAATATAAACAAAGCAAAAATTCATATGAGAATAAACTGCCAGTTCTAGCAACCGGTGGAAACTAATGATTTTAAATTGGCTCACTGCTTGACTAGTCTATTGGTCCCAAGCAAATCGATTAACGTACCCCATTCTAGTCGAAATTCTAGTACTACACTATGTTTGTTTTGATTCGCTATGAAAGTTTGACAGATAGAATGAGGGGTTCGTGGATTTTCCTATGTTTCGAGGGGTGCATCGATTAGCTTGGGACCGAAGATAGTACCAGAGCTGAGCCAAAAAGTTGAGCACGCTATTTCGGGACCTTCTAGTCTTAGAGTTACCTCTATGGTTCTACCAACAATCAATACGAAACTAACGATTTTAAATGGGCTCACCATTTTAGTAGCCTATTGATCCCAAGCAAACGATTAACGTACCCTAT